ATCAGTTACTGATACAGGCCTTGTCCCAGAGGCGTTACCGTTGGAACCGACATCCCCCTACTACCACCTTGAGGCTCCCAATCTGTTGCCCCAGAGATGGGCTAAGAGGCCCGGAATGGGGTGGGGGCAGACGGAGCCGACGGCTTGGACTCCACAGGTGGCTGAGGACCTAGAGCTGAGGACCAGGGACCCCATAAGGGAGAGGGACATGTGGACATTGGGTATTGGGGGTCCCAAGGACAGAGGGTGGGGAGGGTAAGAAGGCAAATCCCTCATTAATCTGGCCAGGGTGAGCGTTGTTATTGTTATTATTATGAAGCATCTCAAGGCTCATACTCATCCTGGCCTGGCTGGGCCCTACTAATGGCCCCATAAATCCCAGCCATAAAGAGTAATGGGGGGAGACAAATGAGATAATTAGGAATAAATCTCACCGAGGTCTCTATTCAGCAGTGTCCCTGGAACTGGCCAATCTTCCGAGCCATTAGCCGGGCCCCTAATTAATGCCAAGCCGCCTGGTGCTGTGGAGGCTCCAGGTATGGGAGGGACTTGGGCTGAGGGGCACCACTGCCCCCACAGCCCGCGGCGGGTGACCTTGGGAGGGCCTGAGGGATGTGTGCCCACAGCCTGCCTGCTTGACTTTTTCGTCTCCAGGGCCTTACAGACACTTTGTCTTCCCTGTCCCGTCTGCCACGCTATCTCTTCACCTCCTTTTCTTCATCTCATTCTGTCTCCCATCTACCTTCAATCTTTATTTCTCTCTTATCAGACAGTCATTGTCTGCATCGTTTGGTCATGGAAGGTCTGACTTAGCAGGAATTGCGGGGCCACCTGCAACAATCTTCCACCATCTGTCCTCCCTGCTACCAGTCAACACCAGGGCTAAGATCCCATCTACACCCCCTACCACCAGAACAGTCCTTGGAACAGGGAGGCCCCCAGCCCACGCTGCTGCAGTCCATTCCACCTGCGGCAGTTTTCACCATTAGAGCGGCCTCTCCCGCCTGGAGCTGGGAATCCTCTCCTTGCTATGCCTACTTCTTGGTCTTACCTCTGCCTTCTGGAGCCTGAGAATAAGCCTCACTCTCCTCTCAGGCTGCAGATAGTTGAAGGCTGTTGTCTTAACTTCTCTTCTCTAGCCAAATGCTCTGAGCTGCAACCTTTGACAACGTGAGGTTCCAGACAGGCCTCTCAAGACCCAAGCACCCCCTCTGGGCGTGCTTGGTAGTCTGAGCCCATAGTGACATCCGTTGTTTTCATCTGCCAGCCATTACTCACTTTTTTGTTGCAGCATCCTTACTCCTTTGGCAAGCTTTCTTTCACGGATTCCACATCGTTCTGGAGGGATCGCCAAGTAACCCACCCTCCCTGGCCACAGAGGCCTGGCCCATCGTAACCCTCAGTCCCCTGACACAGTGACTAGCCATAGTGCCTGACTTTGACCCACCCCCACCCTACCCCCCCAGCTCCCAGGTGGCAAAACTGAGCAAGGCCAGGTAGACACAGCGAGTGGCTACATCCCCTTACCCCATCCCCTCACTTGTCTGTAGGAGAAAGGAATAAGGCTGTAACCCAGAGAGAGGTACCCCCAGAGGTGGCAGGAATCAGAGGGTATAAGGCTGCTACAGGGTTAAGGGAAGGTAGTAAAAGCTGGTGAGGAGCAAGGAAGGCTGGGAGGAGGTGGAGGGTGGGGGGATGACTGGGGCAACAGGAGAACTTTGGCCACAGGTAGCATCCCAGCCTGTGTCTCCTTATCATCCGAGGAAAGTCAAAATGTGGAAAGGGGCATAAACTCAGTGGAGACAAGAGGTCAGATCTGCGATCTCTGTCCCCTCTGCTGCCCCTCGTGTGGACTGAGACTCCTGCCGTACTTCTCCCCGCAATCCCCTCCCTTCCTCTGCAGGGGGCCAGCCCCCGAGCTCCGGAGCTGCTTTCCCACATCTGCAGCAACTATCCCGAGGGCCTGGGGAGCAGTCCTCAGTCCCCTACTGCTGCCTTGTCTCCCCAGGGAAAGTGGCCAAGCCCTCAGGGCTTGACCGGCTGCAGGCAATCCAGTCCTGGGGCTGCTTAAAGGGGTCCTGTCCTGGCAGCTCAGGAGCCATGGGTGTGGTGGCGCCTGAAGCTCTGTTTGCCCAGCTCTGGGTATGAGCACAGGAAATGTCAACAAACTGTGCCAAAAACAGGCAGAAGCCGATGGAGGCTGTAGACGCAGAGGGGCAGGCTGACCACTCCTCCCCTCACAAGCCAGCTTCTGGCTCAGCTACTTGCTTGGTTATGGGGCAGAATTTCTTGGGTTTTGTGTACAAGATCACACAGAGGTCATGGGCAGTCATGGCCAGGGACGACTTAACTTGGCCTCACCACCTTCTCCTCCCACAAGTGTGGTAATTAATGCCCATCTTGGGTTAGGCATGAGGGTGGTGCCTTAAGAAGTCGGGGCAAAGAGGCTGGCCTGCTGCTCCACAGGTCAAGGAAAACCGAAGCAGCAAGCTATTTCCCTGGACAGCACGGTCACCAGTAGATTTCCCAGTCTCACTGCTGTTCCGTTGTACACACAAGGAAACTGAGGCCCAGAGAGTGAAAGGGCCTTCCCTGGGGCCCACGGCAGAACCAGGGCTGGAACTGACAACTGGATCAGATCCGCTGGTTGGAGAGCAGATATTGGAAGCCAACAGGGAATGGCCATGGAGTGGAGGGGAAGCAAGCGTCCAGAACTAGGGCTTGCCCTAGAAGGGTATCTGGGCAGGGTTCGGTGGACGAGTGGTCTCTAAGACAAGTACCGTCTGCTTCCCACCAGGGATGAGGGCTACCTGGGGTGAGAAGGAGTGGACGTAGGGCTCAGAAGCACAGCCCTGGCTCCCCAGGGCTGGCAGTGGTTGCAGACGCTGAAATGGGAGGTGTGTGGGTGCATGTATGTGTATGTGTGCTCTGTGTGTGTGTGTGTGTGTGTGTGTGTGTGTGTGTGTGTGTGACTGTGGAATCTATGTGAGTATGCAATTGTAAGGAGAGTCTGTGTGTGAGAGAGAGAGAGAGAGACAATGTGTGTGTGTGTCTGTGTGTGTCTGTGTGTGTGTGTCTGTGTGTCTGTGAGTGTGTGTCTACTGGGGGGAGGCAGGCTAAATCCTTCCCCTGTCCTGCCCCCACCCAGCTCAGCCTCTCAGGTTTCAGCCACTGTCCTAAAGAAAACAGCCTGCCTGGAGCCTGCAGCAGGAAATCGCTATTTGGATTGCAGAGGCGCCTCTTCCTGCCATGGTCCCCACAGAGGGGAGAGGGCCAGGGAGGGGGCCTTCCTGCCCACCTGGACCAGACCCTGGGTTGGTCAGGAGCACTCCCACCCCCCATCCCGGGCCTCCGGCCTCCTTAATGTCCCTCAGACCCCAGCCTTGGGAAAGAAGACCTGAGGTTGTGCCAGAAGTAGATGCTCCCCGAGGGCCACGGGAACAGACTGGCACACCCTCGTGGAGGGCAACTGGGCAGTCCTGTCAAAGTCACAAATGCATGCACCCTGAGGCCCAGCAATCAAACTCTTGGGAATATTCTAAATAGAGCTCCTTCATGCAAACATGTTCACGCAACCTCGTTTGTAACAGAGAAATAAATGGAAAAGACTAAGCTGGAGCAGGGTAACTGGACTGTGGTTCACCCTTCAATGAAACTCCAGAAAAGAAAGATCCCCGAGACAAATGACTAAGTGACAAAAATGGTACGAGATTATGTGTATAGGATTTTGGCATTTTTGTTTAAAAAACGGGAAAATCATACATGTAAATGCTTGTATATGCACAGATTAGGCTTTTGAAATTTTTGTACCTTGGGCATGCAATAACTGAGCAAAAACTTGAGATAAACAGATAAATAAATGAACATTGGGGGTCGAGGAGACGGGGCTTCTTTCCTGGCTTTGATCCTGACTATGTGACCCTGAGCAGGTCACTTCCTTTCTGTGTCCAGGGTTTCCTGTGTGGTCCTAGAGGGCAGAGAACCTCGATGTTAGCAAAATGAGTCCTGTGTTCGTGTGTGTGAGTGGGAAAGTCAGGGAAGCGGGGGTGGGGGGCGGTCCCGATCACCATCTCATATTACCTCCTGTTGCAACTGCAGCCCACTGCAAAGGCCGTGGGCTGCTCCCTCCTCTGACATTCTTTAAGAGAGTTCAGATTTCATCTGGCCCTTTTTCTGAGCTCCCTCCTTCCCTCTGGAATCCCTCCAGACCACTCCAGACTTTACCAATTTCCCACGAGGTCTCCACTTTTCAAGGCCTTCTTCAGCCCTATCTTCTCCTCCGCATAATCCAAGTCTGACCACGAGGCGTCCTCTCACTCATCTGGACCACTCTGGCTTCCTCCAGGTCCAGGATGGGGGGAAGGGCTCAGTCCAGCTAGCCTTCTCAACTGTCAGCATATACTCTCCATAGGGAAGCCCTGCTGTGCTCAGGTCTGCCCCTCCCACTGCACATCAAGGGCACTAGACACATGCCCTCTGAGACTCCTGCCAGTCCTGCTGGTTTCTTCTTTCCCAAGCCTCCTGGCAGTCGGGGAAGACTGAAGTTGACCCGTGTGACCCCCAACTCAAACCTAACCCGCCTCCCAGTGCAGCCCAGGAGCAAGCCCAGGCTGTGCCAGACCTAGGGTGCCCCTCTCCAGGCATGCCACTGACATAGGCACCACCCCACACCTTGGAGTCATCAGGGAAGGGCTTCAAGATGTTGGAGTCAGCAGGAGATTAATTAATCAAAACCTGAACACATCTGTTGTTAATTAATTCCATGCCAAAGGTTAACTCTTGCTTTTCTGGGTTTCCCTTCCCTTTGGCAGGAAGAGGGAAATGATGGTGGGGAGTTGGTAGCCCCCTTCCTTCCTTTCCTTAGCAGGGAGCATGAACTGGGGGGAGGGAAGGGGTCCCAGAGCGCATCCGTTCAGGTGCTTTGTAGGAGGGTTGTGGGGAGTGTTTGCTTTTGAGAGTTGTGGCCCATGGACGTTACTCACTCACGAGTGCTGAGGAAATCTGAGATGAACAAATACCTTTATTTACAGCAACAAATAGAACAAGACCCTCCCTCCATTCCCTCTCTGTCTCCTTCCAGTCTTTTCTATATCATTTTCCCTCCGCCTCGCCCCAGGTCCAAGCCCAGCCCTGCCTGCTCGGGTCACTGTATGGGTCAGGCCCCGACAAGGACCCAGGAAAGGAGACCGGGGAGGGGCTTGGCTGAGGGCAGGGTGGGGTGTCTCTTTTCACATTTTGCTGTCCTTTAAGCCTGGGGTGGCATCAGGAGGCAGGCACCTGGAGCAGTGAGAGGTAGAGAAGCACACAGCCCCGCCCATCCCTGCCTCCCCATGTTCCTGCCGCCTCCCCCAACTTTCACAGTGTTCTGCAGCCCTGGCAGCTAGTCCAGGGGCAGTTCCCACCCTAGCCCTCCCCAGCGAGGTCCTCGGTGCCGGTCTGTCCCTGGTAGCCAGCAGCAGGACAGGCTCTCTGTAGTGGGCCCAGCTTTTGTGACCGTGGCCTCCGGAGTGTGCCCTCTTCTCACTGGGCTGGGGTTCTGAGAGGGCACTGGGGGTGGTGAGGAGACAGGACCAGGGGAGGGGGCTGATGGAGCTTTGCATGACAGCCCTGGAGCCATCCCCCCTGGGATGACACTGCTGGGACCTCGGCGGGTCAGGAGGAGAAGCAGAGCCCACAGCACTCCATGCAGATCTCCAGGCAGTCGGCAGACTCGCAGCAGGCGTCCAGGATGCCGCAGTCCAGGTCGCAGGGCAGGTCGCAGTCGGCGCACTCGCCGGAGCCGCAGCAGCAGCAGCAGAGGCACGAGTCCTCAGAGCTGCAGGAGCCGCACGTGGCGCAGTCCAGGACAATGTTGCACAGCGTCAGGAACTCGCAGAACAGGCAGGACAGGATGCAGTGGACGCAGCAGTCTGCGGTGGGAGGGCGGGGTGGAGAGGGTGGGTGGCATACCCAGCCACAGCGGGACGGATGGGCGGGTTCACTGAGTGCTCGCTGCTTGGTAGCAGTCAAGCTCATGCAACCCTCTGGCAGCTCCATTAAGTGGGGGGCTGTGAGGAGCCTCACTTAGGCACAGAGAGTGACTTGCACATACAGACACCTACCAGGTAAGCTGCAGAGCAACGGTTCAGCCCAGGCAGTCTGGATCCTGAATCCCTGCTCTTAACCCCTCTTAGTCAGTTATTTAACAAACACAGAGTTATGACCTACATGTTCCAGGCACTGTTCTAAGTGCTGGGCATGAACTGAACTCATTTAAACTTGCAATAATTCCACGAGGAGGGGCTACCATTAGCCCCCACTTTACAGATGAAGAAACCGAGGCTGAGGAGTCACTTTAAAATATATCCAGAATCCTACCACTCTGCTCATCTCTGTCAAGGCAACTGCAACAGCCTCCTCACTGGCCTCCCACCAACAACCTGTGACTCCCTCTCCCTGAATCTACTTCTCACACAGTGGGCCCCTTGAAAAACTTCCGTGGGATTCCGTCTCTGCTGTGCCCAGAACCCTCCACTGGTTTCCACCTCACTAGAAGTAAAAGATAAAGAGCTCACAGTGGCCCTCAAGGCCCCCTGTCATCTGGCCTCCTTCTGCACTCTGTCCTCTGGATCACTGCTGTGGCCACACTGGCTGCTCTTGGTCATGTTCCTGATCTCCAACCACCCCCGACCCCAACCTGGAATGCTCTTGCCCCAGATAAATGCTCCGCTCACTCCCTCCCCTCCTTCATTGCCCAGATGTCACCTCTTTAATACTGCAACTTGCCCACCCCACTCCAGCACCCCACCCCTTTGCCCTGGTCTGCTTTGCCTGTCCTCCATAGGACTCGCCACATTCCACTGCACTACATGGCTTTTTCTTCCTACTAAACTGTAAGCTCCGAAAGGGCAGGCGTCTTTGTTTGGGTCACTGATATGTTACAAGTCCCTAGAAGAGTGCTCTACACATTGTAGGTGCCGAGTAAATAAATGATAAGTGAATTAATGCATGAGCCCACCCTTGGGCACCCAGCACTGGTAAGTGGTAGAGCTGGGAACTGAACCCAGAAAAAATGGCTCTGGAATCCATGCTTGAAAGCGCTCAGTGTGCTGCCAGTATGCTGAGCTAGCATCCCTCCCAGGGGCCAGGCTATGGGGCAGAGTGTCCAGTTTCCCTGACTAGGTAGGCCCCTGGCATGGGCTGGTCCTGTGACAGTCTCACACTGCCATGGAGAGGATCTGACTTGCCCAGCCCTTTCCCATGTGGAGGGAGTGGGGACTCACACAGTTGGAAGCCCTGCTATCTATCGACAAACTGGATAAGAAAGTGCTCTTCCAATGCTAACCTGATGAGGTCACTACCTTGTTTAAAACCCTTCAATGGCTCCCTGTTGCCTTCCAGATAAAGTCTAGGTTCACTGCAAGGTTTACAAGGCACCCCAACCCCCTGAGCTCCTGCCTGCCTGGACTCTCACTTTCCACCATTCCTCACCTTGAACTTGGTAATCTAGCCACACTAGACATTTCTTACCTCTGTGCTAATAATGCCCCTTTCCCCCACAAGCTATATCCTCCTACTCAAGCTTTAAGGCTTGCTCAGACTCCTCCAGAGCCTTCCTAGGCTCTCCTCAGCCTGCTCGGCTAGAGAGGGTTCTCATAATCCCCATGTGTGTGACTTCATCACTGTATTTATCACACCATATGGTGATTACCTGTTGTGTCTCTCTTGAGAGCTTCGTAAGGCCATGGACTGGGTACCTAGCACACATCCCAGTGCTTGGCTCATAGCAGATGCCCAGTACACTTTAAATGAACGAGTACCTCTTTCATAAATTAAATTATTGGGCAGAATCTGCTCTGCAGGGTGGGAAGGTTTATGAATATGTTGATTACAAATGTGTACACTGAATCCTGTCTGCAGATGACCAGGCCAGAGTCCCTCAACATAAACAGCAATCACTTAAAAATTCTGGGGTTAAGGTCAAGCACCACTGAGCTAAAGGAGCTGGCACCAATGCTGAATTGATGCCCGGTGGGGCTGGGGGAGCTGGCTGCCCAGTGTGGCCCTACAGAGGACCTCTGTGTTGCAGGAACAATGACTGGTGTATCTGGGTCCTCTGACCTCCCACTGCACCTTGCAGCCCTTAGCCCACCCCCAATTAAGCATCTGATGGTGCATCATTTTATTCTGCTAGGTGTTCTGCTTTCACTAAACAGATGGTCCACTCCTTGAGGAAAACTTGTTTCCAGAAACAGGACAGGGTGGCTTAAGCTGTATCAGCCCAGATGGCTCCATTACTTGTTACAGCAACTCTGGGAGAGCAGGGGTGGGAAGGGTTGGCCTTGAGAACGCAGACGTGTCGTGTCTTACCCAACAATCTCTACAAGGTTCTCCGATTTGAGTCTTGCATCAGATTTCCTGGAGGACTTGTTAAAAGTAGGCTCCTGACCCACCTGGAGGTTCAGATCCAGTGGGCCTGGCACATGGCTGATGCTGTACTTGTAACCAAAAACCTGGTGAAGATGCTGCTGCTGGTCCCTGCATCCTCCCTTGAGGAACTTGGCTTTGGAGGCCCCTCCTAGGGATTGGTGGGGTACTTACCTTCCTGCGCCTGGAGAGGGATCTGGGAGGCAGCCGATTTGGTGCTGCCCTTGCTTTTCTTGCTGCCCTGGCTGGCAAGAGATGGGTGTGATTGCAACTTCCGGTGGGCCTTAGGGACACC